AGAAACCAATGGTAACCTAGGTCAAGCAAAGTGAAGATAAAGGAAACCTTATCATATCTAGGGGGAAAAAAATCTACAGAAAAGAAAAATTCCCAATGCTAGAAGAGGAAATTGTGGAAGTGAGATCACCAGAGAAACTGGGAAAGTTAAGAGTCCAATGTACAGAATGATCATTTTTTCCTACTTTGATGCTGTCCAGTTGTTCAGTTGTGTGCGACTCTCTGTGACCCCATTTGGGGTTTTCTTGGCAAAGATACTGGAATGGATTGCCATTTCTTTCTCGAGCTCATTGGACAGATGGGGAAACTGAAGTAAACAGTGTGAAGTGACTTCCCCAGGGATCCACAGCTACTTAAGTGTGTGAGGCTGGATTTGAACTCAAGAAGATGAGTCTTCCTGACTCCATGCCTGGTACTCTCTCTACTGCACCACTCAGCTGCCTAATGAGATAGATACATACAGATGGACATACATACACAGACATAGATAAGTGAATAAATAAATAGAGCATCTCTTCAGATCCGAATTATTAAAGCTTTTCTGTGTCATGGACCCCTTCAGCAGTCTAAGGAGGCCTATGGACAAAGCTAACGATGCTTTTAAACTCTTAAAATACATAGAATTACAAAGGAAATCAAATTATTTTGAAATTTAATTATCAAAATAATATAAAAATGAGTTCACAACCACAGATTAAAAAACCCAGGAGATGCAGAGGATTTTAAAGAGAGTAGTGGGATCATTTTTTTTTTTTAATGGAAGAGTTTTTTTTCTCCTCATTGACTGTAAACTCCCTCATCAGACTGAGATCCTTGAGGGCTGGGACTGGCTTTTGTCTTTTTTACTAGCACATAGTAGGCACTTAATAAATATTTGTTGACTACATTTGACTTTTTCCCCAGAAGTGGCAAAGGCATAAAATAGCACTCATGTTTAAAAAAAAAAAAAATTTACGTAGGCTGATCAGCACAGGCTCACGAATGGCTAATCATTTGAAGCTCCTTTCCTTTTCCTGCATAAAGGCTATACTAATTAGCATATGATTTTATAAAAAGGGGAATTGTCAAGGGCCACATTGCTTGAAATAGGCAGAAAGACAGACAGACACCCAGGGCATGTCTACTAAATACATCCTTTTTTCCCCTCGGTACGTATCATCTTATTTGCCTTGAATTGGACTCTGACAAATGGATTCAATAAAGTTCTGGCTACTTCTCTCAACTTCCTCAAGAAAGACAACATGGAACCCCAATTTTCCCGTCCTCCCTTCAGAAATAACACAGAGATCAGCTGTACTCTCATGAAGTGCCCGCTGAATTTAGGGATCGGCAGGCTTGCCCCGAGAGAGCCTCCGAGGTCCTTTCTCCTAACTGGGCCGAGTTTAGGACAAACCAGAGCGCTCTCCTTCTCAGTTGCACAGAAAACTGAAGAACAATTCTAAGCAGCAGACCTAGAGTCTGGGCTGAGGCATTTCTAACTCATAATACTCAACAAAAAAACAAAAACCATGTAACTATGAGGTCAGAACACGAACCTGTAGGATCCAATTTTCTAGACACCCATTTCTACAGTAAAATCTGTTCCCTGCCTCCCCAGAGGGAATAGAAGCTCCTCGAGGGCAAAGGCTTTTTTTTTTTTTAAATTTGGCTTCACCCACAGTAGGGACTTCATAAATGCTCATAGTACTGAAATGCCAAATGATTATCTTTCCTAACCTGGAACATAATAAAGCTTAAAAAAAAACCAGTATGTGTTGTTTATTATGCCCTACAAATTGATTTTAAAACAATTCTGATAGACTGCAGAAAATAACACCGTCTCAGATGGAAGGATGTGAATTCAATAAATACAGCTTTGCAAAAAGGGGTGCATGCAAAGTACAAGAACTCTGGTACTCTTTGAGACTGTTTCACTAAGTGTCGAGTAATATCAATATAATTACAAATAGAAGCCAATGAAATTCACACCACAAATGATTTAAGGGAATCGAGATCCACTTCACTCATAGATATTAAATATCCCCTCCAAATGGTCATCAATTTGATCATAAAAATAGATTCTATCTTTCAATAAAAGAAAAGCATCTTTTCTTGGGTACTAAAATCTTAATAACTAGATAAATTTTACATATATATATATATATATATGTACGTAAAACGTAAGAAAGATCCCTCTCTAGCCGCAAGCATTTTCTCTGGCTGTCCCCCAAAGCTGTCCCCTAACACTCTCCTGTCTCGGCTCCTACTACTGACCTCTGGCTTCCTTTAAGGCCTAACTAAAATCGCACTTTCTACAGGAAGTCTTCCCTAATCCCTCTTAATTCCAGGGCCTTCCCTCAGTTAATTAGTTACATATTGTCGCTCCCATTAGACAGTAAGCTCTTTAAGGGCAGGGACTGATGGTCTTTCACTTCTTTGTATCTCTAGAGTTGAGCACAGAATTGACATATAGCAGGCTCTTAAGAAATACTGCTTAATGGATTGATTGATACCGATTTAACTTTCTTTCACTTTTCCTGAGGCCATGAGACATTTTGAATATTTCTTCCAAAACACAAAACTTTGAGCAATACTTGGAAATATTTAATATCTTTCTATAGTCATGGCAAACTATGTACAAACTGTACTCTGCCTTATGACAATGGAAACCTGCTCCCCGAAAAGGCCACTTCTGTCAATGATAAAAATGAGTAACTCACATTTACATAGTGCTTTCCAATTCACCAAGCACTTTTCACACAAATGCCCTGAGAGAAACAGCAGAGTTTTGCAAAAACAGACAAACAAATCTAAGGCTAAATAATTTGCTCAAGGTTCCCAACCCGGAAGCAGCCTTCAAACCTAGGCCTGGTGGCTCCAAGCCCCAGGCTCTTTCCCCTACACCCCTGCCTGGAAACTTCAAAGCAAATGCTGACTTTTTCTTCCTACCAGTGCCTAGCCATTAAAAAGCTGTGGGGCCTGGAACCACGATGTGCCTCAGTTTCCTCACCCAAAAAAAATGAAAGCTGCCTCTCGCCAAGAGAATTAGAAATGGAGATGACACTTTGTTGGCCCTTCAGCAATAACTTTATTTAGGGCTTCCTAAAACTGCTCCTCTCCTATGGGCCCTCCCTCAAGTCAGCTAGTTAAGCTTTAAAGGGCGGCTAGAGCAAGAGCTCAGGGAGAAACTAGCTTGCTATACCTTCCCCTTCATTACACAGGAGAAGCAGAGAAAAATGCTTCTGTTTAAATAGCTTGAGTCCTTAACTTTTAACAGATGTTGGCAAGCCTGATTCCACAATATACATAACAAAGAAAACGACAAAGCCTCAGGCCTTTTAACACAGGGGACACAAAGAGAAACATTTTCTTGCATTACTGGGCACATAATCAGAACCATTCGGTTTTCCAGTTCGGAGATCTTTCTTCCGGTGATACTTAAGGATATGCACAGGAGGTCAATAATTCAAGGTGAATCCAATAGAAATAATATTGAAAAAAAAAATGAAAGAAACATAGGATGCCTGCCTGGGCTGTCAATCAAAAGAGAAACTCTGCTTTGGGGTGTTTTTAACTTAAGATAAAAATTAGACACACGCAGGCTTTTCCACGAGTTAAATTTCCGTAGTCTCTCCTAATAATAATAAATGAATTAAATGGAGCAACAATTTACTCCTCCTGATGGTGAAATCAGGTAAGTTTAACAGTCTGCGCTGGTGCTGTCTGGAGACAGGATGGAGGACTAGATAACCCCTGGAGGTTTTCTCCTAACCTAAAGATTCAGTCTATTTAGTTGAAGTCCCCCCACCCCACTCTCTACTCGTTCCTCTCCCCTCCCCCCCTCTTTCGGATGGGTCATAAACACTACACAGCTCAGCAAAGAAATGTTTATCGATCATACACAAGAACTGCCCCCACCCCCCTCAGTTTCATGTTTATTATGCACAGTAAACAAAACGGATTAGCTCAACCTTTGACAATTTCCTTCTCCTTCGGGGCTCACACCGCCCAGATAATCAGCCCCTCGGAACCCTCCCGAACCTCCCTGAGCCACACAAAGGTAGCTGGAGTGGTCCTGGCCACCAGAGCCCAAGGATTATCCGAGTGTGTGACACTCCGGGAAAAGTCCCATCCTTACCCTAGGGGATTCCTCAAGAATTCTCAATGAAAGTGCTCTTGCACATCTAATAGTTTGAAGCAGACACTAGGCAAGGCAGAAGGAAGCCCCTCTCCCACGGCACATTTCGGCTGCCTGGGTTCTGGGACCCCCACGTCTCCTTCCCCTCCTCACCTCCTCCTGCCACGGATTCTCACTTGTGCGAGTAATGGCAATGGGGGGAGCGGGGAAAGGGAAAAGAGGCAGGAGCAAGGAAAATTAAAGGGGGGAAACAACCCTGGGGGTGGGGGCAGGCTAAGAACGAGAGCCCTGGGGGAGATCACAGGCGGGCAGCGTAAAGTCCCACTCCATTGGGGGTGGGGAAGGGGTCGTTAAGTCTGCACTGGCAAACGGAGGGACAGAAAGGAAACCTCTTTATTCTTCCCTCTTTTAAGCAAGGAAGCAAAAGAAGCGGCTCAGGGGAGGGGGTGGGGGTGGGATTGGGAGGGGGGTGCAATCAGAAGGGCCTCCGTTACACACCCTCAAACTAGCAGGAACACTGGGGAGACGGAAAGAAGGAAATCTTCCTCTTTGCTCACCCCCATTCAAAAAATAGGAAGGTGGGGGGGGTGATTAAAGCCAGATGGACAGCCCCAGAAAGCAGCCCAGGTCACCGTCCCAATCCCCAGGCGGAAGGGCTGCGATGCAGGGGGCCGGGGCGCGCGGGGCGCTCGGGCAGCGCCTACTCTGTGCCCCGCACGGAACGCCCCTGCCCTCGCGGAGCTCCCATTCCACCCAGGAGCCCCGGGCACCTCCAGGCACAAAGTGGCCCCGCCCCCGCCCCGAGGGGCGCCCTGCCCGCCGGGCGGGGGTCCCCCACCTCGGCCGCCCCGGCCCCCCACCCTCCGCCTCGGCCGGCCCGTTACCTGCTCATCGAAGCGGTTCACCACGGCCTGGACCCATTCCACCGGCTTGTGTGCGGCCATGTCCGCCCCGCGGCCGGGGGGCTGGGGCGGAGGGCGACGGGCGGCGGGCTCGGGCGCCCCCGGGCCCGGCCGGGCCAGGGAGGGGCCGGGGGCCCCGGGGGAGGGGGCCCGGGCGGGGGTCGGGGGGCGCTCCGGGCTCCCTCCCGCGGGGGTGGGGGCCGCGGCCAGCGGCCCGCGGGGAGGGGGGCGGGGGGAGGGGGCGTCGGCGGGCAGGCCGGGGGAGGGGGGAAGGGGAGAGGGGAGGGGGGGAGCCCTCTGGGTCGCTCTCCCCACTAGCGCCGTCTTCCCTCAGCCATCCCAGCCCCAGACGCCGCCATGACACCCCACCGGAAGTGGGATCCTTTTCCACGGCCCGGGGAGAGAGAGAAAGCGAGAGCGAGCGAGCGACCGGAGAGGGGAGGGGGGAGCGGGGAGGAGGAGGGCGGAGCGCGGAGGGAGGCGGGGGGGAGGAGGGGGAGGGGACCCTGCCGCGCATGCGCCTGTGCCCGCCGGTTTCATTAATGAAAAAGCGAGCCCACCCGAGGGTGACGTCACCTCGCTCCTCGGGCCCCCGCCGGCGTGGGGCGCGCGCTCCGCTCGCTCCGCCCGCGGGTCCCACCTAGTCTCGGACCTCCGGGGTAGCCGGGCGCTTCCATCCCCGACCACCTGCCGGCCGCCTCCCCAAGCCTCTTTCCGCTTCCCCTCCGGGCTTGCATTCCTCCCAGATCTGAGTTAGATTAGAAATAGGGTGGGGTGGGGGCGTGGGGGTGCAACCACCCGGGAGATTTTCGTCTCCCTTAAGCTCAATTGACGGTGAGCTCTTCCATTCCCTGTAAGCTCCCCGAGGGCAGGCACTGGCTCTGGCGGAGTGCCACACAGTAGGCGCTTAATAAGTGCTTACTGGTTGACTGACTACTCATCCCAATTGGGGCCTTAGCTCAGCGCTTCACGCTCCCTACAGCTCGGCCAGGCACAGTCCCTTTCCTTCCCATAACAAAACTTAGTCCTTCGTCTACACCGAAGGACCTTCCAGCCAACTACTCCTTTCTGTAAGGAAAAAAAAAAGTGGGGATGGGAAATTTGAGGGGAGTAGAAATGCCATGAGATGCTTACCATAACCCAGCAAGTCATAGGATCGTGGATCAGAGTGAGGAGGGACGTCGGAGACCGTGGACTCCCACCCCTTCATTTTGCAGAGGAGGAAACTGAGGCACAGTTTCCTCCACAGAAGGGGCTGGAGGAGCTGCCTAGGGTCCCGAAACCATGTAGCAGCTGAAGCAGGAATTAAGCCCAGTAACATTTGTGAAGCACTTTACAAACCTTAAAGCGATAAATAAATGCTAGTTGTTGTTACTGTTATTATCATTACTCTATCCAGGGCATCAGTAAACCTCTCTAAAGCAAGAGCAAGCAAAATTAGGAGAAAGAATCTAGGGGCTCCCAATGCCTATTTAGGGCAGCCTGAGGATGCTCCTGGACGAAAGATACAAGGAGAGGCTTCCGATTAATGATTATAGAAAAACTGTTAAGAACCAAAATGTGTGTGACAGTATCTATAGGCACTAGCAAATATATATTATATATAGAGAGAGAGAGAGAGCTGTATGCATACATCTACAGATATGTACATATATATATTTATAGCTATACAAGGTGTACCAAAAGTCTTAGTGCAGTTTAAAGCTAAGCTTAAAATAATAGCTAGTATTTTTTTTACCATCTTAAGGTCTGCAAAGAGCTTGACAAACATTTTATCTTCTCAATAACCCTGGGAGGTAGAAGCTATTATTATTCTCAATTTACAGCTGGGGAAATAGAGGCAAATGGAGGTTAAATGACTTGCCCAGATTCCCACACAGCCAGTAAGTGTCTGAGAAAGAATTTGAACTCAGGTTTTCCTGACTCCAGGTCCATCACTCTATCCACTGGCCACCTGGCAGCTTGTCTTTCCTCTTGTGCAACATAACGACCTTGTGAGTATTAGTCTTTAAGTGTTCCAGCCCCAACTCTCTTTCCCCCTGGAATTTACAAACATGCAATAGCCATCTTAGAAATATTATAAATATAGCATTGCTTGCTTTCCTAATGGGTGAGAGGAGGGAGATAATTCAGAACTCAAAAAAAAATTTTTTAATGAATGTTTAAAAATTTTTTTTCAGAAATAATCATAAAACTATTTAAAATCTAGCCAACCTTTTTTTTTTTTTTTTACCTGCCTGCCTCCTATTACAAGGTACCTAGAAAATTTGGGGGAGTGTTTTAGGTTTGTTTGAGAGATTGCATGGTGGGGGTGGAGGGTGGAGAAATCCAGACCTGCGATTTTATTGCCTTTGGCAACTCCTGATGAAGTAACCAACTCCATCAATGTTGTTATTCAATTGTCTGATTCTTTATGACCCCATTTGGAGTTTTCTTGAAAAAGATAATGGAGTGGTTTGTCATTTCCTTCTCCAGCTCCTTGTACAGATGAGGAAACTGAGGCAAACAGGGTTAAATGACTTGCCCAGGGTCACACAGCTAGTAAGTGTTTGAGGCCAGGATTTGAACTCAGGTTTTCCTGACTCCAGGCCTGGCATTCTATCCACTTCACAACCTAGCTGACCGAACTCCATCAATGCAGTCCGGCAACTGTTGAGTGGTATTTTATAATCTTAGGAATCCTCATAAAACACTGGGAGGATCACGCAGCCTGAATGTGTTAGAAAGTGGTCCTGAACCCAGAAAGTAAAATGTATGAAATCAGCCTTCTTCTCCTGGGTTTGGGTCACCTTTCCCACCTGGGGAATACTGAAAACATTTCTATGCCTTCAACTCAACAAGCATTTATTAAACGCCATGTGTCAGGTCTGAGGCAGCCTGGCAGTGGATAGAGAGTCAGCCTCAGAGGCAAAAAGACCTGGGTTCAAGTGCTGCCATATCCTGGCTGGTGCTACCTACTGTAGGTCACTTCACCTCTCCCTGCTCTAGGCTGCTCACCCACCTGCAATGAAATCTATATCTAAAGGGGGCAGCTAGGAGGCACAGTAGATAGAGCACTGTCCCTGAAGTCAGGAGGACCCGAGTTCAAATCCAGTCTCAGACACTTAGTAGCTGTGTGACCCTGGGCAAGTCACTTCACCCCAATTGCCTTGGGGAGGGGGAAGGGGAAGAAATCGACATCAGAAATATGCCAGGCATCCTGCTAGGTGCTGAGGATGAAAAAGATGCAAATCAATTTGTCTCTGACCCTTACTGCACCAATGCAAATAGGAACTATATATCAAAGAATTCCAAGGAAAAGAAAGCATTAATAGCTGGGGACATGGGGGATGGCTTTTCTCAGGCTTCTTGCAGGGAGCTAAGAATTCTAGGAGGTAGAGATGAAAAGGGAACACATACATTCCTGATGTGGGTGGCCACCTGGGCAAAGACATGGTTTAGAAGAAGGATGAAGCTTCTCAGTCTATACAATTCTTGTCCCTGTTCTAGCAGTCCTCCGTTGAATACCCTCCCATCATCCTGAAGCCCTTCCCTTGGTCCTGAGTCCTAGGGTCCCACTTTGGCTATCCATCAGTCATCTCTTATTCTCGATGGATAACCATACACCTCCAGTCATTGATATCCCTAATTATGTCTTTTTGGAAACTTCTCATGCCTGTCATCATTGGTACAGCCCTCTGTGTGTATTTCTTTTGTCCTTTGGTTCACGTACAATTGTGAATTCTCAGAGATAATGGTGATTCATGATTCACGGCCATTTAACACCACTTAGAGAATATTGGATTTATTATCCTCTCTTCTTAGAGAAAAGAGGATTTTATGGCAGCAAACAGTTTGGGAATGCTACAGACTTTCTCCAGTTTGATCTATCTCTGTGTCCTCTTGCTTTTCACTTCTAGGCACAGCTTCATATGTGGTGTCTGTTCAGCAACAAGTATTTATTAAGTGCCTACTGTATGCAGGGTCCAGTGCTAAGTGCTGAGGATGGGGGGGGGGAATCAGATAGATAGATAAAGACAAATAAAGATAGATAGATAAAATTGTTGGAGAGTGATACAGAGAAAGCAATAGATAGATAGATACATACATACATGCATACATACATTAGTACGATATGAATTGTGAATAGGTAAAAATCCTCACCATTAACATGGAATTCTTTTGAACTTCTTTGATTCTGGCGAACACTCCTCGTTTTATCACAGAATATCCAGAACAGTAGAAATAGAAGGGACCTTAGAGATGATCTGGGCCCTCTCTCCCTTTAACAGATGAGGAAACTGAGACCCGGAGTTGTGTAGTGAATTGTCCTGTGGCAGAGCTCCCACCCCTGGTCTTGTCTTCTGACTTCAAAGTTCAGGGCTCTTTCCACTATAATGTTTTCACTTGTTTATTATCTATACTGAACAGATCATTTATTCAACAAGTGCTGGTTTTAAAACCAGAAAGAACTGAGTTCAAGTCTTGCCCTCTAATCCATGCACTGGGATCCTAGTCAAGGTCTCAGGGCTCTGGGCAATTCTCTAAAGCTAGAAGGTGCAGAAAAGGTGCCAACCTGCATGGGCAGAAGGAGTTGCCTCATCTGGGAGTTCCCTGTACTAATTAAATCCAGTCCATGTGCAGAGTATTATACAAGGTACTGAGGAAGAAACAAAATTTAAATAAGCCATAGTCCCTCATTGAACAAAGTTTACCCTCATAGTAACTTCTGTCATAAAGTCATGTACACCTGGGAGGAATCTGAGAGGGACAGAACTCTGAAGACTGCATTTTGTTCTACTGAGTCAAATGCTTTTTTAAAAAAAATCAATAAATGCAAGACACAGTGGATCATCTATCTTCTCCGCTGCTCTGATTATAAAGTATGTGGTCTGCTGCAGAGAATCATCCATAAAAACCTTCCTACTCCTTTGTCATGCTTGGATCAGAGATGGCCTCAAGGTATGCATATGGTATTTTCATAAAGATTTTTGTAGAAAAAAAGGGGGGATATGTATCAGCGGTTATTTACATCTGTTTTGTAGCTTGTTTTTTTGTAAAAATATCATCTGTGATCTTTTCCGTTCTTG